TATATTTAAACCCTTCATAACACCTCTGGCAAAACTGTTGGGACTATTAGCTAATGGTCTATTATAAAAATTATTAAAAGTGTTTGATTTCTCAGTCCACCCTGCTGCCGTGCGGATAATCGAAAGATCTACTCCCGCTCTAAATGCAGCTGAGGTTGATGCATGTCTTGTACTATGACTAGTATAAACTGAGATATCTATGCCAGCATCTTTCAAGGTATTTTTTAACCACCTACTAATGGTTTGCGCACTAGCAGCGTGAAATGGTTTTTTAATTGTTAATAACAAAGTCTCTTCATCAGCACTTCTGAAGTTGCTGGTGCGTTTTATATATGTCTTCAACGTGGAAGCTATACATAGTTGAGGTATTTCTTTGAAGAATGGCAGAATCAAAATAGGTTGCCTTCTTCTGGGGTTGGAAGTTTTGATTTTGTCTACTATAAATATTTCAGCTCTGTCATCAAACCAAGTAATATTATTTAATTTAATTTTTGAGAAAGTTTGCACCCGGTGTGCAGTTATCAATGCCAATAATGTCACCAATTTACAAGTTAACTGATATAAACTGATCTCCTCTACTGGAAACCATTTTGAGATGAACTCTAAGACCTGATGGGGGTCCCAAGTTGAAGTATATCTAGGCCTCATGGGGTTCAAATTATAAATTCCCTTCAAGTATCTTTTCAAAAAATGTTCGTCATCTTTTTTGATTTCGAGTATCAAGGATAACGCTGACTTATAGGAATTAATCGTTGAGTAAGAACAACCAGCCTCAGACTCATTATCAAGAAAATTTATCAACTTATCTAATCGGTACTGATACGGGTCCGATGTTTGTTCCCTATTGAACTTCCACCACTTCTTGTAACAACAGGCATATTGTCTCTGTGTTGTTGGGGCAAGTGATGCTGCTATTTTATTGAGTCCTGAGGCTGGAAAACCTCTCTGGAGGAATGCCTGCCGGATAATCTTGCTGCAACCAGGGAAATCCTCTGCCATAACGGATGTTGTGTTCTAAAAGGGGATAAGAGTAAATTTTTACTTGGCTTTAACACAATTGTATTGCCTACAATGAGTGATTGGAAAACTGGGTACCATGGTTGCGAAGGCCACAAGGGGACAACCAAAATACCATCAGCCTCATCGTTTATAATTTTTTCTATAACTCTATGAATTATAGAGAATGGTGGGAATGCATAGAAAAACCATTCATTCCAATTAACTGTGAAAGCGTCAACAAGTATGGAGTCTGGATCGGGTTTCCATGAAATATAAACAGAGCATTTTGTATTTAATTTTGTTGCAAATAGGTCAATGTCTGGTCTACCAAGGCATTGACATATTTTTAGGAAACTTTCTTGAGCTAACTCATATTCTGTTTCAATGGCTAGGGAACGTGATTCGATATCAGCTTCTACATTTGCTTTGGTATTTATGTAGGATGCAGAAATTATGATTTGTCTGTCTTCACACCATTTCCAAATGTCTTTGGTTATGCAATTCAGTTTTTTATATCTGACTCCCCCCATCTTATTTATATAAGCTATTGCCGTGCTGTTATCTACTCTCAATAGAACCTCGCAATCGTTTTCATTCTTAAGAAAACAACGTATGACATTAAAAACGGCAAGCAGTTCCAATACATTTATATGATATTTTCTTTCATCGCTATTCCAAAAACCATGAACCTTTTGATTATTACAACACCCCCCCCAACCAGAGGTAGAGGCATCTGTGAAGATTTCGTATTTGTAGTTTCCTTTTTTGAGTTTAACTTTCGAATTGCGAACCCCATTTTTCCACCAAGTGAAATATTCGTCTACCAAATTTTTTGGTATTGACATAATTTTATCGTAATTTCCGTTGTTTATTTTCAATGCCAAGAATTTTTGCTGTTCAAGAGGTTTGGTGTAACACCAACCGTATTTGACAGCAGGACAAGCTGACACGAGTACTCCTACCAGTCTTGCAAATTCTCTAATGGTGCACTGTGCTTTTTTCGAAATATTCTCAATCGATTTATAGATATTCTCCTTTCTTTCACTTGTAAGCGAAAAATGGAGGTTTGCGGAATCGAATATGAATCCCAAATATCGGCATGATGTTTGTGGAATGAGGGAGCTTTTTTCAATATTTATTAAAAAACCTAAGGTTTCTAATACCTCGATAACGTTTCGAGTATTGTTTCTACATTCTATGTCTGAATCTCCGAAAATCAATAGGTCATCTAAATAATATGCTATGCACTTGATACCTTGTTGTCTCAGTTTTTGGATAGGTGGTTTCATTATTTTTGTGAACACGTATGGGGCTGAAGACAAGCCAAAAGGAAGGCATTGGAACTCAAATCTTGTATTCTGAAAAACAAATCTCAAATATTTTCTGTAGGTTTTGTGAATAGAAATCAGAAAATATGCATCTTTCAGGTCTACAGATGTCATATAACAGTTTTTCGTTATAAGTTTCATAACCGATCTATAGTCCTCCATTTTGAAGTGAGGTGGAGATATTAATTCATTGAGTTTTTTCAAATTTAAGATAAATCTGTAATTTCCATTGGATTTTTTCACCAAAAAATAAGGAGAAATGAATTCTCCCTTGGTGTACCTACATTTTTTAATGGCTCCTAACTCTAACAGATTCTGAATACTGTTCACATATAGGGTTTCTTCATTTTTTGTTAGGGCTCTATGTAGAGCATATTTCTGAGTCGGTCTTTGGACAAACGGTATTTTATAACCTGAAACCCAACTCAAGATTTGTTGATTATCTGTTATATGTTTCCAACTATTCACAAAATATTTGAGACGTCCTGCATACATAGAACCTACCTCTAATGGCTGTATTTCTTCTTCGCATAATTGGTTCTGTTGTTCCCCTCTCGGCGATTGACTTCTCGGCGGTTCATCTCTCGGCTCGTCCCCTTCTTTTTCAGCTTCACAGGCTGTTTGGGTGGCTTGAAGTTTTTTGAATGATAGTACGAGCCTGATGTGCTTGCTATCGCAGGCTGATAGTGGAATTTTGGTTTTGCTAGGCGTAACTCATTGGAAGCCTTTTTCATATTTTGTGTTGATTTCACCCTGTCGGCAAAATTTTCACCAAACAACATGCTGTCAATCTTTGACTCGTCCATGATTTTCTTCAATGCAGGATTCAATTTGGGAGCTACCAAATACCTCCGGTGCTGTGATATAGTGTGGTGTATATCAGCAAAAAGTATTGCTGTGTCGACCAATTGTGATAGCACTGGGTTGGTTTCTTCTGATGGGCTCGAAAATAACTTATTTAAGGGTAGTGCTAATGCACTCAAACCACTCCCTAGTTGTCCTTGCAGTTTGGACAAAAAATTATCCGTCTTTGCCATGGAGTCGTCCAATATTGCTTGAATTTCTCCATTCATCTTTGGGCCTGCTAATTCTGGACAATTCTTTATTGTTGGATATTTTTTCAATAACTGGTTGGGAATTTCACGGTCGATACCTTGGGATAAAAAACAAGACCATCTTTTCGCAATTTCCTCGTGTATTTCTGGCCCCTCGACCTTTTCTTCCAACGGACTCACTCCTAACAAGTTGGAAATATCAACCGAGGGTGTGTTTGTATCCACCCCAACCTCTTGTGGAAGGTCTTGAGTGTCTACACCGGCATCGCAGGTGTCTGCCATATCAACATCGGACTGTGATGAATCAGACTCTGAACTGTTTACAGAACCTGAAATATTATGATCCTAGTTATCATATACCTGATAACCATCTACATTTAATTTATTGATGTTGCTTCGCACACCCTGTAGACATATCGTCGTGCCAGCATAAAAACCGACAGTGGAATGCCGCGACGTATGATCACAATAAATTAAAAAACTGCTTGACTTTGCATTGCCGGAAATTATACAAATTCCAGCGTCTTCGATCGTCATAGTTAGATACCAAATCGAATAATAAATTTCTACAACTATAATATAGGAATACTGCATCCATTGAAAAAAGGAAGAAGAAACAAGGTAAACATTCTGGATGTTTTTATGAAGTTTCTGCGACAAAAACAAAAAACTCAACCTACAGCCGTTTCATACCTCGATTTTTTGTTTCTGGCGAATCATTTGATTGCCGCCCCCATATATACGGCCCTTTTTCCACATGTGTGGAATAAGTATAGGTAGGTTGAGATATATTTTATGGGATGCATGTGTCATCCCGGGGGCCTACAGTATATAGTTGTAGGAGATTATTGTTTACCGATATCAGTTGACTGTTCGACTCACTATAACAATTTTGAACAAAGATCATCTCATTATAATCATTCGACTTACTGTCAGAACTTGAAGAATATTTCCTTCTCTTTTCCATTTTCCTCAGTTTTTTCCATAACTTCTGGATTTCAGCTTCAGTCTTTTCTGATCTACGTTTTCCCATTTTCTGTCTTGATAAACTTATCTTCTCTAGCACTGTCCTATCACCTGATATTTCACTAATATTCGTTAACCGTACCTCTTCGTACAAAATTTAGCACTGACGATAACAGGTGTGAGCTTGACCGCGCTGGCCGGTACGCAGTGGAACAGGGTGGTCAAGGATTTTTCTATTTCTTTAAAATTGTACCAATTCGTGCAAAATATAGCAACTACAAGTATAAGCATACCTATTTGTAATCGAGGATGAGACTGAAGTATAATTTGTGCAAATCATTATTCTTTCAAAAACGGTTGTGAAAATAAATGTGTGATCCATGTCCATAGACATAGAATGAGAATGAAATTTCATATTCCTCAATATTTATGTAATATTTGCATTTGAAGGATTATAATTTGAAAGTCGAGATAAACCACCAAGAGAACATCTCAGAAATGCCGATCTTGGGTGCTGATTGTGATCGAAAATACTGCTGGTTCAATGACGGCTGAATATCTAGAGTGTCTGACGGGTTATTCTAGATATTTAGCCGTTATTGGCTGGTTTCAAAATCAAAACTTTTGTCAAAATGACTTTTCCAAATGTGTATTTTGTAACTGTCTGTCAGTGCCAGTTCACTAAACGTCATTTTAGACGATTTTCCTTTTCGCTGCAATATCGATCAAACTCCTATTCAACTCTAAATGGCTGAATATCCCACAAGACAGTGCGGTCCTTGTCCTCATCTGGCCAAGTTCGGAAAAGTTGAAAATAGGGATTATTTATCTCAAAACACCACCCCTGAGCCCCAAATAACCCTCCAAACCCCTCAAAAAGCGAACGAGTACAATCTGGGGGTACCCACGACTAATCTTCAGCCAAATCTTGCAGTTTCTCCAATATCAAGGGTAAGTTTTTTTTATTTTCGATCAGAATAGCTATTTTTGAATCTAATGCGCGAGATGCTACTTTGGTGATCACGTCGAAATGAGCGAAGTATTTGGCGTACGAGGAGTAAACAACATTTTTCCTACACACGTCAAAAAACATATAGTCCAATAAATAAAGAGAAAAAGTTAACATTAATTACGCACTATTTTCATCTTCCGGTTGGAAGTAGCTTTTGGTACCTCATTAAACTTGAGATAAAGTTTGACTGGAAAACGCGTGCGATGGCGGAGAAATGGCCCCAAAAGACCAGAAAGATAGGTTTTCAGCCAATATCTCCTAAAATATGGCTGTTAGAGATTTTCGGTTCAGATAAAAATTGGAGTTCAGTTAATTTTCTACAAAAATGGTCCTTATCATTTTTCTCCAAAATATGCCCGGTTTCGAGAAAAACGGCACGAAGCGCACCTCGAATAATGAGCTTCTGTTGAAATTTTCAACCCAAACTATCGTAGTTTCAGAGCCTATTCTATACGAACAATCAGATATTTCCCCTTTATAATATATTAGTATAGACCTTGATAGCTTTACTGGTAAATTAAGATGTCTTGTAAATCAATCGCTATTACAATTTCTTGAATTTTTACTTGTGAAAATGTGAGCAGTAAGCTCTAAGATTTAAAAAAAAACTGTCAGTCTGTTCTAAATCGCGCAGTTTTCCATATTTTACATGTTTCTTGTCTAAATCGAAGAAAGAATACTTATTTTCAAGGGTGCCTTGCTTTCTTTCAACAGGGTTCAACTTGCCTAACTTTGACAGTCGAAAGAAAAACTTGAAATATTGGAGAGATAGGTTTACGATATACGGAATGAAGAAAATTTGAGCTGAATACAATATCCCGTTTATCAAAAACTATTTCCATTTCTTCTATTGATTGTCGAAGTGAGACGATAGGTTTACGATATACGGGATGAAAAAAATCTGAGCAAAATACAATATCCCGTTTAACAAAAACTATTTCCAATTTTTCTATTGATTGTCGAAGTGAGACAAGTTGAACTCGAGATGTTAGTAAATAAGGATATGTCCGAAGGTGAGATTCGATGAAAATAATAATGGACAAAAAGATGGTGGAAGGTTCAAAGGAGGAATCCCTCCTTGTGCGGAACAAAAATATGCTGAGAAAGATTGTTGCCTAACTAAGAAGAGTGAACCAGTTGTTGAAAGTAGTTTTTGTTGTGGAAGAGGTGAGTTTAAAAAAAATCTGATGATTTTCTCAACATTTATAATTTTCATAATCTCTATAAAGTTCAACTCATCTATTCTGAATAAATTTTCTGCATTGAAATACTCTTAACATGGTGTTTCATCAAGATTATATCAGACAAAAAATAGTTGGTTATTTGAATTGCCTAATCTTCAATGAATACTGTGAAGTGCATGACATATTTCTTTATATTTTTCTCAGCTTGGTTACCCCTTGGAAGACACTGAAATATTCATACAAATTTAGATGACACCTGAATTAGTATGTTGTTATCCTGGCATATTTCAAGAAAATCTTGACTAGGAGTTTTTCGGAAATTGATAAAATCCCGCTATTTTTTTTAACTTCGATACCTCATCATATTCCGAAAACTACGAGTCTTTGGTAGAAAGTTCATGACTTCCACCCCCAAATATTCATACAATCACAATGGAACACCTAGTCCATGTAGGATACTAATTATCAAATTCGTAGTATTGGGAGCATTATGATAGTAACCATTAAAATATCTGTTTCCGTTTATAATTATTCAAATCTCTTGCAAAATATTATTACCTAATAGGGTCATCTTCATTCATTTCTGGGAATGAACACTAGATAACTGACATTTGTTGTTTTTTAGGTTATATTGAGGACATTGGCGTATCATGCGTAATTTCAACATGTAATTTCTCATTCATCTCTACATATTATATCCAAATGATGATAATTTTCGAGTTTTTGATTTTTCAACTCCAGCATAATGTTTGTGAGGCAGTGAGAAAATTCTTCTGAAAGTTTGATACGTTTTACCAAATGGGACTGTTCTTAGGCAGTACTGGCAGTATCTATCAATAAACGAATTTTGATTTCAGACTAAGCCTTATGATTGAGAAATTATGGAAAATTTAATGTTGGTATTCAAACTAATGTGCTCATATGTCATGTGTGCTGTATAAATCTTTGTTGGGAATCATTTTTGCAGTTTTTGTACGAACACTCAACATTTCCTGAATGTAGGTATAATTTTTCTGGTATAATCAACTGCCTTTCCTATGATATTGATATTATTCCACTCTGCCATATGTTGTCCATTTTCAGTAGGGATATGTTCAGTTAGCTTCGAAAGTATTATACAGGTGAAACGAGAAGACCTCTTTCAGTAAGGACTAAAGGACACAAGTACAATATCATGAAAAGACATATCGATAAATCGAAGCTAACCGAAAGTAACCCTGTAGAATTGTTCAATATTTGTATAATCATCTCAATTATTGTTCAAGATTTGTTATTCAATTCTTGTTCTCATCATTGTGCACATGTACAGGGTGGCCAACTAAGAATCCAGAGTTCGATACTTCTGTTGTCTTGAGAGATACAAAAAAAAGTTTTGCATTCAAATTGAAGTGATAACCAAGCTTCACATTTCAAAATTTCTTTGAAATACACAGGGTGTTCCGTAAGGTCACAGCACATCAAAGCTATGTTTTTTCATTGGAACACCCTATATTTTATTTCATTTTTGAATTCTCCCTGACGATCTGATTTCAACGACGTATCATACTTAGGGTCTAGCAGTGAAAGTTACTGACATAATATAGGGTGTGCAAAATCGAGATTTTCCAAGTTCAGGATTTTTTTTTGTCGAAACTGTTCATTATTCGTCAAAACGGTTTACATGTCCCTATCTCAACTTTTCACTCACTATCAATTGGTGTTCAATTGACATTTAATTGAAACAAATTATGAATTTAGATTTTTTGACCACCTTGTATCAATTTCAATTGAACACCAATTGATAGTGAGTGAAAAGTTGAGATAGGGACATGTAAACCGTTTTGACGAATAATGAACAGTTTCGACAGAAAAAAATCCTGAACTTGGAAAATCTCGATTTTGCACACCCTATAATATGTCAGTAACTTTCACTGCTAGACCCTAAGTATGATGGGTCGTTGAAATCAGATCTTCAGGGAGAATTCAAAAATGAAATAAAATATAGGGTGTTTCAATGAAAAAAACATAGCTATGATGTGCTGTGACCTTACGGAACACCCTGTGTATTTCAAAGAAATTTTGAAATGTGAAGCTCGGTTATTACTTCAATTTTGATTCATGAATTTTTTTTGTATCTCTCAAGACAACAGAGAAATCGAACTCTGGAGTCTTAGTTGGCCACCCTGTACATTATACATAGTATATAATGCTGTTATTTATAATTTTCGTTGTATAGGGTACTTACCATCATCAAACTTACAAACAAGCATCTATAAACGATGCTTCGTATTCGGTACGGTACACAATATTTGTTCTTATTTATATCTTGTATTTGTGAGATCTATTGAACAAACTCGAATAAGTATTATTATTATTATTAATCACTACTCGCACTCGAACTTCCAGACCAGCCCCCAGCCTCCGCCAAGGGCATCCTGAAACACCCCGAGGGTCGCTCACCCCCCACCATGCACGCCACTGCCGGCCGTCATCCCCCTGCCTCCAGAGACCCCTCCTCCGAACCCCCCGTACCCAACCCGTTGCGCCCTGTGGCCGAAGACAGAAGCAACCCGCCCTGCTATCTACCCCAACCCCAAGACGCGCTACCTGTGCAGCTGGAAGAGAGCATGGGCCCCATGGGGCCTTGGGCCACCGGCAGGGTGGATTGGGGGCCACTTTCTGGACTCACAGGTAAGGTATTTTGCCACTCTGACCCATACTGTTGAGCATGACACCGCCATCAGGACAAGGAGGTTCATTAACTATAACAAACCTTCAAGTTCTTATTCAAACAGTAACTCAATGAAAGGCATCCTGGATGTATGTATTTTCGTTCCAACAGGGGTGCAAATGCCTTGCATCCTGCGGCCTATGTTCATGCTCTTCAGCTAGCGCTGAGAGAGAGAAAAAAACATCTTCCCCATCCCATAAGTCCTGGTCCTTAGTGTTCTAACATTCTAAATAATAAAAATGTTATGTTTGTATCAGTGGAAATGAGAGGAAATGGAGAAGAAAATCATTCTAACTTTTTTTTATATCGAGGTTATTATATGATCTTCTTCATTTTTCCCATTTCCAATGTAACCAACGTAAAATTTCCATTATTTTACGTTGGAACCTTGTAGACATGCAAGGACAGGTAGACAAGAAAATGTTTTCTTTCAACACTTGCTGAGCTGTTCTATTGAGGACCAAAGTGTGAAACACTGCCACTTGCACTTATATCACTACAAGAGACGGCATGTAGTGGAACCTACTGTCTGATCAGATTGCATAGAATGAAGGCTTTTGGACAATTTGCCACATCACTACGATCTCTTCAGATCTATTATGTCTGCCCTCGAAACCGTTTAGAGTTCTCTCGCTAGCCTTGCATCCTCTGTGTATCTGTAGGTTCTTAGTTTTTCCTCTCTAAGCGTAAGGAACCACAGTCTCGACAAGCCCTTACAGTGGTGAATAATGTGTACCGCTGTTTCCTTCTATTCCTGACAAAACCTGCACAACAGCTCTTCAGCCAGACCTATCGTACTCATGTGTTTGTTAAGCTCTCTCATTCCTGGCAAATAGGTCTGCTATCCTTGCAATTTGGTTTGCATCCATAATCTGATAGTTGTCTTCTGTATTACTTTTGCAAAACCACAAAAAGGTTCTGGACCATTCATAGCTCTACTTGCTCCTTCTCCGGCGAATAAATCTGTCTCTTCGTTCTCTGGCTAGCCTCGCCTTCTCTGTGTATCTGTAGGCTCTTGGTTTTTCCTCTCCAAGCGAATGGAATCTTAATCTTGACAAGCCCTCACAGTGGTGAAAAATGTGTATACCGCTGTTTCCTTCTATTCCTGACAAAACCTATCGTACTCATGTGTTTGTTGAGCCCTGTGAGAAGTTCTACTAATATTACAATTGAACTTTTTTTCTGACTCGATCAGTGGATAATATGTGAATGTTGCCCATGGTTAAACGTCTTTGCCTGTCTCATTCCTGGCAAACAGTTCTGCTATCCTTGCGATTTGGTTTGCATCCATAATCTGATACTTGTCTTCTGTATCATTTTTGCAATACCATAAAAAGGTTCTGGGCCATTCATAGTTTTACTTGCTCCTTTTCGGGCTAGTAAATCTGTCTCTTCGTTGCTCTCACACCAGCTCCAGAACCTATCTCAGTTTTGGAACCGGCCGTGTAGGCAGCAATGTCTGTATTAATAAGAGGCCTTTCCTTTCATCATACATCCGAAATCACTGCATACAGCGAGATTTTTTTGAGTTGCATCCTCTCGTTGGTCTCAGCAGCAACCAACGACCCAGAAGTCGAAACTTGATGTGTGGGGCTAGGAAAGCATACACATGCAGTTGGTCCCAACTCGATGCTAGTACAAGTCAAAGCTCTCAGCCAACTTCACTCATGAATAATTCGATGCACATTGTCACTTAGTGTGCGCGAGTTGAGGCTCCTGACTGGGAAAAAGTATCAACCACTGGAACCCAAACCAATCCACGAGTTGATACTGAGCACTCTAACGGGAACTTTATAGTCCAGTCCAAAATGTGACTGATGTTGATGATTTTGACGGACATTCATGAGGATCTGATGAAGACTGAGTCACCATCATATTTCTCGTCTATTCACAGGCACCAGACCTGTCGTGGACAAGTACTCCATAACACGGTACAGCGAAGGCGATTGGCGCGCCCACAACAAAGACATGCTGGCCATGTCAGCTACGGAACAGCACAGAGCCAACCTGATCGACTGGAACGGCAGGTAAATTGTTTCTTCGTCTTACAATATCCAGGAAAGGAAATAGGTACCCGAACAGCACCAGCATCCGAAACAACCGTCATTTGCGCCTAGGGAGCAGGCTGTTAAAAATTTCTTGATGAATATAGTTATCAAAGGTACATGCATTATATTTTGGAAGTATACATCTGTTTTTCACATAATTTCGTCAAAAATACAGAGTTCGGCAATGGAACGGGACGATTTGGGGTGGCACTTGCAGCGTGCTAAGAAGTGGTAGGGATGAGAGGCACTGGCCTGTCAGGACCCGCATGGCTTGGCTCACCATTTATTCATTGTTTATTCATTATGAATCATTCGATGGGTAAGTACCGCGGCTACGCAGTTGAAGCATACTATCAAAATGTAGTGCCAAAGCAGTTCGAACCCCTGAAAACATCGGAAGTGTTTGACAAGGAATATGAAGAGGTCCTCACCGATCCCAGGGCGTTTTGTTTCTCGAAAGAGGAATATCATTTGGTCCCCTCGGTGTTTCGACCTATCTGATCCACCTTAGTTTCTAGGTATCCTCACAAAAAGAAATTGCAGGCAGTTAGGTCGGGAGGTCGAGGGGGCCAATTGATACTCCTGTTCAGAGAAATGGTACACTTGGGATCTGCGAAGACCTCTTGATATCCCTTGTCGAACACTTTTGTTATTTTCAGGGGTTCGAACTGTTATTTTGATAGTAGGGTTCAGCTGCGTAGCTGCGTTGTTGCTTACCCGTCCAATGATTTATCGCAAATGAATGAAGACCACAGGGGAAAAAGGAGAAATGTCACAAAAAGTATGTTTCGAGAATAACTCATTTCAAAGTTTGAAACCTCCTTACTTTTTGGAAGTTGAAGGAAACTGAAATCAAACCATCTGGATTCATTTGATGGAGTATAATGAGCAATAAAGTTGAACAACCAATCATAAAAATCATATTTGAATGAGAGTATAATCAAAAACAAAAAATAAGTCCGAAGGTTCATGGAAAAAAAGGGGAATGTTCAAAAAAATTTTCAAAAAACTGTGAACGTATTTTCGAACGAGCACATTAGCTGACTATGCTCGCTATGGATATTTATACTAAAATAATAAAATATAGTGGTTAGGCTATCAGATGTCGGTATCAAGTCAATTCCCACTATATTGTGACATTCCTCCCTTTTCCCCCTGTGGTCTTCAAATGGTAAGCTTTGCGGGTCCTGATAGACTGGTGACTTCCATCCCCACCACTTCGAGCCTATCAGGGCCAGTGATGACGTGTGTGGCGTCGCTGATGTCTACACTGCTTCGGGTATTCTCGTTCTTGAAAATCATATGACCAAGAGACTCTTGTAATGGCAGGCAGTGTCTGGAGCAGACGCAAGCAGATACAGACAAGAACCAGGAGGACAACACCAAGCGGTTGAACCAGCGCGAGCTGGAGATTCTGCGGTGGAAGTGTGAGCTTGAGCGAGCGATAGCAGCTGCCAGCGAAGAGATCGGCTTCATGGAGGAGCAGAGGAGGAGGTTGAAGCAGGCCAGTTCAGTCTTGACCGTGCCCGAGTCAATAGCAGGTGGGTAAAAAAAAAATAGAACAAGCAAAAGAAGGTAGTAGTCCCTTCACCACCCATACATCTTTAATATGCAGGCTACTGTGAAAATCATGATAAGAAAGGGTTTGGGTAGAAGAGTTTTGAATTTCTAGAAAGTACCTCTGAGTTCCTGCTTTCCGGCTTTACTTAAAAGGAAAGGTTAGCAAAATGAGGACAATTATTATGGCATGATCCTCCTTTTGCTTTTCGGCACTAGCAGGTCGGTACAGTCAGGTCAGATGCAATGAACATGTTGCACTTGGGAGGTGATAGTACCAATAGTCACTTCTGCAATAAGAGTGCTAACACCGCGACATTGTCTATGCATCTGACTGCAAAGAACAATGATAATCAAAGTTTTTATTCAGTCGAAAAAAATCAAACATATCTGGTTGACAAACATTGCTTTCATGGAATACAATTGTTCAAGCATACATCGCGATGTCCCTTTAGAATGACTTCTGGAATGGGATCTTGGTGTATCAGGGACCTCCTGAATCTCCTAACGTTGCTTCCTTTGAAGTCCTTCACATAACCATAACCTTCAGGGGTAGTCTACATATGTTTTGAACCAAAAAATCTCACTTTACAATTTATTATTTTTCTGAGAAAGAATTATGGTTGTCTTGAGCAAAAGTTATAAGCTAACCCAGTTCCTATACAATATTTGTTTGAGAAAATGAACTAATCAGATCACTAGCGTTGTCCTTTTACGATCCAACATGATACCAAATTATTGCGAAATCGCCAAGAAAAACCAACCGATACCATGAATCTTGAGTATATCGGTTGCAACATATGAAAATGATATCTTTATTTATATTCGTTTGCCGGTAATGGTCAATTGTAGGTTATTGAAGACCCTCCTTTCGAGAGGGTTGTCAACAAAGATTTTGGTTCTGGCTCGACTTCGATAAACTAAGAAAGGTACGGGATGATGTAATGTTAAACAATATAGATTTGATTTGATATTAAAACAAATAATGAAGACCTATCCATAGAAGGTTTCTCACAGGTATAATCTTGCAAAGAAACCAAGCAACACTCTGGTGATGAAAGTATTTATTCAGTCGAAAAAATTAAACATTTTATTGTTAAAAATCATTGCTTTCGTCGCATAAAGCTGAGTGGAAGACCACTGTTTGAGCATAAACGTCTCAATGTCCATTGAGGATGGCTTCTGGAACTAGGTCTAGGTGCATCAGAGACCTCTTGAATCTTCTAACGCAGACGTTGCTACCTTTGGACTCCTTCACATATCCAGGATTGCAGATGCAGAAGTTCGGGGCAGAACAGATGCCGTTAGTGCAACCACCTGGACAATGAGCCACGCATTTTTGGCTTCTGATCGCACCAGGGGCCTCAGTATATCCTAAAAAACAAAATGAATTGTAACTCTCACTAAATGATCGTTTTTTTTTTCGAAGGTGAATGTTTGGATCGTAGGACAGGACGAATGGACTCCGAATTGGTCAGAGACGATGTGGAAGAGGAACTGATCAGAGAGGTGGCGCTGTGCTCAGAAATACGAGATATTTTCTCGCGCACCCTCAAAGACGTAGAAATGCAGCTGCTGGAAGATAAAACCGCCAAACAGAGATTGGAGTATGACTGGAGCGATAAGAAAGTCTCACATGAAATAGGTGAGAACCACGTATAACCTCTTGGGATCCAAAGTTCCTATTGGACACATTATGAAAACGATTCAAAAGAACGGCATGTACTGGTGAAGGTGTCTCTTGGACACAGAAATCATTCTTCCAACTTTATAATGATATAGAGTATTCAGTCAGGTATCTGGTGACAATATAGAGTTCCTAAATGTACTTGACACTGCTGTTTTGACGACAAGCAGTGACAATCGAACATAACCACAAACGATTTTCAAGCCAATCATATGTTTTGCCAGACAAGGACAAGAATATGTTTTTCGCTTGGATGAAGGATCTTCGCATCTTCCTTCATCCACAAGTCCTGTGAAAACTGCATCCATATATCTTTCTCTGTCTTTTATTTTTGCATAGCGTCTCCTCGAGTGAGTAAAAGGGTGCGATAAATTGATTAAAAAATTGTTTCTTCTAGAAATATTGGATGATAAGGCTAAAGAACCTAACGAAATACATATACTAGTCCTATGAAATATGTATGTATATATTGGAATAAGGTCCTTTACGATACTCGCTCAGTTTATAAATTCTTCAACATCAAAATCTTCCGTTCTCAAGTGTACCTGATGAAAATGCGTTGAAAAATGTTCTATATCCTACCAAGAAATTCAAATACCTCGCAAATTTTGTAGCCTGAACTTATATTCCACGCCGGCCGCATCATATTATCCGATGGAAATTCGAATAGAGTGAACTGATTTGACGTGTTCTCACAGTTGGAAACTGCACAAACTTGCATCTTTCTCCTAATTCTCTCAATTTGTCAAACCTTTGAAATTTATGTCATGTACGTCCGTGTACTGTCAGTTACCGCTTTTTCCATCAATTTATCTGTGGTTATGTCTGATTGTCAGTGCTTGTCATAGTGTCCGTACTCTGATATACAAAAAAACGTCAAAACAGCAGTGCGTCAGGTACATCCAGGAACTCTACTGGTAACCGTAGGTTATGATGGTCATGTCTCACTCAACTACCTTAGTCCATAGATCCATCAAAGTAAGAGTCAATAGGTCGAACAGAACAACTTGTATTGAGTTTTCCTCGAGTAGTGACGTTTACGATTCCTCCCACAGACTCCATCAACATGGCGTTGAACAACAAATCGACCGTCCTACGCTTCAAGCCAGGTGCCGTGTGCTTCCCCGAAGAACAGTCGACTCCGGAATTCTGGGAGCATTTCACCAGAGAGACCCTGCTGGAAGGAGAAGCGACGAGACAGCGATCGGTCACTCTGAGAGGCACCTTGGACGCCATCTTGAACAACGCGGCTCGCGACCTGAGGACGCAGGCCGATAAGGTCGAAATGGCGCTAGCCAGAAGGATAGCTTGCACTCAGGAAGTGACTGATAGGTTGGAGAACGAGCTCAGGCAGGTGCTAAGGAGGTGAGTTACTATAGCGAAACCGACCTTCTTCTTAGTGTCAGAACGTTACCACCGAAATAAACAAGGTTTCAGTACTCTGGCGTAAACACCTCGTTAGGTCGAATCGTTGTGCAGACGGCAAGCGGCTATATACAGAGTGCCAAGTTCATTTTTTTTATTGGGAAAATAGCTTCCAGTAAGAAATAAAATTCTGGTATGAGGAAGTTGATTACAGACAACAATAATAAAATGACATTATTATATAACATAACACCAAAAAAAATCTCATAAATCTGAGTATGCTAAATCGATCAAATCATAAAAATAGCAACAGGGAATAACGAAGGAAAACTACTCATCAACCTTTCAATGTTTAGTTGGTTCTGCATATTACGGATTATGAATGTTAGGCTTCGGTCAGTTCGGTCGGTGAATCTCCTAGGCCCCAGGAAACGTCGTTAATCGGTAAATACTCAAGATGTCAGTCATTGAAGACTGTCATGAAATAGTTCTGGAAGACCGAGGTCATTATTAGTGTCCAACCAGCACTGGCCGCATTACAAGTAGCGCGATCTAGTAATCGGAGTTCAACGTTATGCATAGATTCGTTTTAGTTGACGTCTGAAAATCACAGATCCAGCACAGTAGTGTCAGTCAACCGTGACTGACAAAAAATTATTTTCGACTAAATTTACTAAAGTTGAACCCTCTGTCAGTCACACAGGACTGACGAGACCCCACGAGAGAATTTCCTGTCAGTCACATCTAACTGACATTACCCAAATGTGAGACTCTCGAATACCCTTCAGCCGTCATTCTCGACCTGGCAGTACTGGAGATGTACGATGCTAGTGAACACAGATCGATAGCAGAGATATTAGGGGGCATCACATTCATGCCACACATCACATTCATGACTCGAATTGGGAGTCCCATTTATATCATAATGACTGCTATTCCGGACCCTTTTGGTCATTTTATGATTCATATTATGATGCCAAATGAAACTCGCAGTAATTTATCAATCGACTCCCCATTTAACAAAAAAATTCATTGGTTCGGTTTGTTACATTATTAGACAAGAATGTGAGATTCCAGTGAGTCTCTCAGTTGTTTGGCAGCCTCACGAATTCAATTACATTTCAAGTCTCACATCCACTGAAATGAGACGAAAATTGCGAATATTTTGTGAAATAATGAGTCCTCTGGCAATACCAATTATACAGGGTGTTTCACAGGTAAAGGGAAATATTTCAATGGTAGATAGGGGTCACCAAGGTGGTTCTGAAAATAGTATATTTGATAGGTCTTAGATTTTTCATAACGGAGATACAGGGCGATTTATCGATTTCGAATAATTATTCTTTCGTCTATAAGTATTGAACTACCCAGTATATTCTTCTAAAATTTGGTATGGAGCTTAAACTTGGGACGTTGAATTCATTCACCTATCAGGTGAAGAGAAAATCCTGGTTCGGCTTCAGGAAAAATTCACATTTATTCGAAATATTAAAATAATACACTGTATGTGATAATTGACAGAGTTCATCAAAGGAATCGTAAAGAGGAGGAAAAACTGAACTGGATTTGATGCTTTTTGTTTTCCCGCCATCAATTCTCATCGTAACAAAAAATCGCTCGAAAGAACTTACTAAGTCTCACAGTTTTTATAACGGAGATACAGGGTGAATTATCGGTTTTGAATAATTATTCACTCGTCCATAAGTATAAAACTAACCAGTAACATTTTCTCAAATATGGTATGTAGCTTACTTGGGACGATGGATATATTAACCTATCAGGCGGAATTATGATTCGATAATTCACCCTGTACCTCTGTTATTGAGACTATGAGACTTTTCCTGAAGCTGAACCTGTATTTCCATTCTGCCTGATGGGTCAATGAATCCATCGTCCCAAGTAAGCTCAATATCAAATTTGAGAAAATATTACTGCGATGGGTAGTTTAATACTTATGGACGAGTGATAATTCACCCTGTATCTCTGTTATAAAGACTGTGAGACTAAGTAAGTCCTTTCGAACGATCATTTAACAAGAATATATCAAATAATCATAATTGAAAGTGGTTTCATAATTTTAATACTCTTGAAATTGACATACTTTTAGCTTCCTGTTTATGATTGTTACGATAAGAATTGGTGGCGGGAAAACAAAAAGCATCTCAAATCCAGTTCAGTTTTTCCTCCTCTTCACGATTCCTTTGATGAACTTTGTCAAATATCACATACAGTGTGTTATTTTAATATTTCGAATAAATGTAAATTTTTCTTGAAGCCGAACCTGGATTTTCACTTCGCCCAATAGGTGAATGCATTCAACGTCCCAAGTTTAAGCTCCATACCAAATTTTAGAAAAATATACTGGGTAGTTCAATACTTATAGACGAATGAATAATTATTCGAAATCGATAAATCGCCCTGTATCTCCGTTATGAAAACTCTAAGACCTATCAAATATGGTATTTTCAGAACCACCTTGGTGACCCCTATCTACCTTTGAAATATTTCCCTTTACCTGTGAAACACCCTGTATTTTCTTATGATTCGCAATGTTACCTAGCGAGACATGAATGTGACATCCCAGGGATGCTCGTGTTTACTGAGATAGCTGGTCAAATGACATTCGCATGCTCCATATGTAACGATTGGGCAAACAATAATCTGTATATCGGTGGTAACAGTCAGACACTTGGTTCGGTTGTAGGTTGGCTGATGTAGAAGACTTGAAAGACGACCTTCGCAACGCCCTTCGCCGCATGGACATCCCGATGAAGAAAGCGCAGACGCGTCTGGATAACCGTATGCGCAGACCCAGAGTGGAGAACTGCAGAGACGTGCCACATTTCGGCTTGGTGGAGGAGGTGAAGTCGATCGGAGAAGCTGTGGCAGCGCTGCAAGCGCAGATGAACCAAGCAGAAGACTCGCAAGCGAAGCTGATGCAAGCTAGAAGTGACTTGGAGCGAGAGATCATGCTTAAGAGGAAGACTTTGGAAATTGATAACGATCGGACCAAGAGGATACGGTCGCATTATCCTTCAGCTACTGCACTGTCTGGATATTGATTGAAAATTCTTGAATAAAAATACTATGTCTTTGTCTTTGGATTCATTGTCGATCTGAATGGCAGAGCTCACTCAGGGCAACTGTAGCGGTTTTCAACTCTACTTTTGATGCATCAATTCATAATTTTTCTATTTTTCATGTTCTGGTTCCCACGAAAAGGGATATCCTGTAATGTTCAGAGAACATCGTGGGAACCAAGGGAAACAAGGTAGGAATTGGTGTTATTCTTGAGATTCTGGAGGTTATATGCCTCGGGGAACACCTCCCTTTGCAATGTGTTTCAGAGCCTCGCTGTTCGTTGGATGAACGAGTCTTTGAAGAGAAATGTTATGCAGGTCTCCAGTGTGATCATGAAGAGGTGCGATGCCTCAACTCGACGGTTAATCTTGCGGGGACTGCCAAGGGAGGAACAATTGTTGATATTTCAGAAGAGCATCGTCCACGAAAATATCTATAAAATAGAGCCAGGTCGCCAACTTTCCTACGGTGTTCCAATAAAGTGAGTGAGTTTGTGAGCGAGACATCACTCACGAGACGAATTGTCCTTTTTTGGACAGAATCCAACAGTTTTAGGTTATGTGTGTGTGCTGCGCTCCAAATATGGGAACATTATTCCAGGACAGGTCGGATCTGTGCCTTATAGATCATAGACAGCTGACTGGAAGTGAAATAGCTCCTGGCCCGAAACAGAAAACCAAGTTTTTGGGATGCACTTTTAGCAATTGATCTCACGTGAAATGATGTTAGGTAAGACTGAGACGACCTCAAGCAACATGTAGGAAGTCCAGTCGATTGGGGATGCAGTGGCAGCGTTGATCATTCAGGAAAACTATATAGCGGTTCCAAACTCTTTTTGGTGCATCAATTCATAATTGCAATAATGTGAGGTGAATCTGGGATGATCGCAAGTAATATAGAGGATGTGAAGTCGATTGGAGAAGCGGTGGCAGCTCTACAAGCGTAGAAGAACCAAGCAGAAGGAGGAAAACTATGGAAATTGATAACGATAGGACCAAGAGGATAATGTATTTTTTGTGTCTTTGGACAACTACAGTTGTTTCAAACTCTACTAGGTGCTGTGAAGCCCAACTTTTTTTTGATGACCTGCTACAAGGGTCTTCACAAACTTATTTGTTTAGGATCACAGGAATATGTATTTCCAAAACTTCTATGATCAGGTACAGGAACAGTCACTGGGCATTCAGGATATCTCTATAGCGATTTCAAATTATTTTTTGGTGCATCAAATTATGATAGAAATGTTGGTATATGAGCCAAAAATGATAGCAAGCCACATGTTGTTTTTGAAATTGGGAATTTCGAATTATAACTTGTGAACTGACCTTTTTTGCAAGCACAAGTTTCTGGGGCGATACAATCACCATTCAGGCAGACCTGTGAGCAGTGAGGTGTACAGACTGATCCAGCATTATCCAGAGTCCAACCAGGTTTACATGAACACCTGTAAAAGCCAACATTTCAATCTGACTACTCAGTACCCTGAGGAATATTTCGATTGTATCATCTAGAATTATTGTGAAGTTACATTCCCATTGTTAACAAGTTACATAGTTTTGCTTACTTGTTTGGTGCTGTGCATTCTCCATTTTGGCAACCTCTTGGACAGTCTGGGACGCAAGTGTGTCCAACGATTTTGTATCCAGGACTACAAGAGCACTGGTTGGGTGCGATACAAGTACCCTGTCCGCAACCACCTTCACAATGGTAGCCGCATTTATTGCTTCTTGGGTCCAACGAGAATCTGAAAAATAGTTGGTGATATACCATGATAATGATGGGTTTTATTATTTCACAGGGACTGAGATTATATCTAGAGGCTTCAGCCGAAGGTTACCTGTAGGTACCGTCGTTACGTTGTTATGATGTATCAATGTTTTGGAATCATTAATGGTTAGGTACGTAGAATTGAAGAAATTATTTTATAACCAATGGAAATTTTTGTCATCATGACTGTTATTCTTGTTTTTCTAACAATGCCACAAGTTTAACTCTTCTAAATCTCCAATGTTGTCAGACTTGGCAGATAACTTCAGCAGTGAGTAATCCTATACAGGGTTGGTCATTGTGAACTTCTTTAATCTTGAAACTACGAGATTGGTTGAATTAGCAAACTATTGGCATTTTTTCTGCTGATTATAATGGTGAAAACAGAAAAATGATTGACCATCACTTTTGAGTTATCAATCATAACAATATATTTTTTGAATGATCAGAGATATACAGCAGGGTGTTGTCCTGATAGATCTTGAATTCACCTTTCGCATATTCAGATTTAGATAGTATATAGATGCAATCATGTTCATCTATCTATATCAACTAAACAGGAATCAATTTTGATGTCTCTGTTTGGAAGAATGCTAACGGATTCTTCGAGCGTAACTGGATTTTATGGATCTAGCCGATCTAGCCCTAGCTGTCGCTTGGACTCTTACACGCTATACGGTCCATGAAAGCCTATTTTGCGCCCTTGATACATAAATAACTGTTGTTCATATGTTCTTTGTTCAGCTGTTTAACTTGACAAGCTTGTCCACACCGTTCCTATTTTCAAAGGGCGTGAAATGAGATGTTCAAGGGACTCTACTAGGTACTGAGAAGCAGCTGCTAGTCTTCACCATAATGTTTCGAAGAGAATATTCAGATAAATAAACGAAAAGATAATACTAGTATTTCAAAATCGTCCCAACTCACAAGCATTTTATCACACACTAGCTCGACTGATCAACAGACTAACCATATACACAGACATTAGAATGTCCAAAGGTGGAATGAAAACAAGTATTTTCTTGTTCGACAACTATACAAACAAAATACAAGTGCCATCAAATTTCTATGTAGATGGCAGAGTCACTAGCAGGGGCGTCCGCAGAAATAATCTCAGGGAGGGGCAAGTCACAATAAATAATGTACAATATTCACTACATATCAAAAAAACAGTTTTTGCACGACCTATAAGCGATTTTACACCAACCAAAGCGGGAATACAGGATACAGGGTATACAGAGTAGGCACTCTCTAGGCTAAAAAATTTTCCGGGATTTTTCTGGCAATAAATCTACCACTATGTTTGCAGCAGCTTCTTCAATAGTTTTCCCACATATTCCTGCAATATTTATTGGAAACTTTTTGAAAGAAATCAAAAAAATAAGCTACCACACTTTTTCGATGTTCACAAAAAGCAATATGGCTACTCTTCTATTTATTATTGTGTTCAGATTTTCATTTTCATATTGACAATAATTGATTTTATCATAAGATTCTTTCAATTAAAATCGTCGAGTCATGCAAAAAATGGTATATAAACCTCGGAAGTGAGTTCTTTCTTCCCTCAGTGCATTCTAGCACCCTCTGGCTACAAAACCACCTCTGGAAAAATCGTGCACTTCACTCTCTCTCGGTATATAATCTACTATCATTCTACATAAAAGATGGAATGAAAAAAAAAAAGAAAATTAATTGAATTGACACCACATATATAGGTATTCCTTTTACAGCCAAGATAACAATGAGAAATTGCACGTGATAATAATCTTGTTCAAATAAAAATGGCATTGTAATAAAGTCTTGACCAAATTTATCAATAGTAGTAGTAGTAGTATTGTGGGGAGGCTGTAGCCAGGCAAGTAGGCCCCCATGGGCCCTTTTTGCCAACCCCTGCTCTCCACATATCTACACATCCCTCTTTTAGTTGTCCTTTTCGAACCTTCCTGTCCTTCTGATAAAGGTCAGGATGTCCGTCCACTCTAATTCGACCAAATCTTCCCGTTGTAGTTTATCTACTCCAAAGATTTCGAATCTCATCCTTCCATACGCCTCACACTCTCCGAGGAAGTGAAGTAATGTCTCCTCAAGTGGGACTATCTTCCACACCTATGAGTGATAGGTGTCTGCGTAACCTGTTGTGCCCTGTCAGTATCCCTATATAAGAAGGCGCAGGACTTTGGCGATCCCTGCCCAGTAACCAAACCAAATTTATCAATAACTTCGTTGATAAAATTAACTCTATATCTATCTATAAGATGTCGATGAATACTAATTAAACAATAAAGTCTCAGAAAGTCACTATAAAATAAGCGCTGTTCAGAATAGGAATTGAATAATGCAAATGTATCTTGTTTATGAAGTATCTGAGCGAAGACCAGGCGCAAGGGGGAGGGCAAGCACCCCCTCTTTCCTCCCCCTCCGGACGCCCCTGGTCACTAGTATTTCGATCAAAATTTCCTGTCCAATGGGCGAGTGGACTGATAATGAATTATCGGCATGAATGTCGTTAGGAACCTAAATTAATTTTTACAACACTCCTCATGCTTTTTTTTATGTAAATAATGAGTCTATGCGGTTTTCGAAATTGTTGAATGTCAGAGCTCATTTCAAACGAACCTGCATGGCCGCCATTTGGCGATACGTCGAATAAATGATGACGTCAGTTTTCATGCTGTTTCGTTATGCGTTATGAAAACATCTATAAAAATGATAATTTTTCTGCAACCGACACAAAAGTCGTCCATTTTGATACCAAAATTAGCTCTTAAATTGACGTTTCTATTACTGACACAAAAATAGGTATGTTGCTAGGCAACATATTTAGTTCCTAGGAGCTAAAGTTCAATTTTAGTTCCTAGGAGCTAAAGTTGAACTTTAGCTCCTAGGAACTAAAAAGGATATACTGGACGTCATCAAGAATAAACAACATCGTGATGGTTGGTTATTTGGGTTGAGACGCATACCTGATTTGTTTCCGATTTCAGCAGATTTGGCATTTAATACCCATGCTGGAGATATAAATACACCTTATTATAGTTCAGTATTGAAATTATAAACATCTCAGTTGGGTATTTTTGTTTTGATCAGGGAAGCCTTCAAGATTCAAATACTTGCGTGATCTGTATTTCATTCGTTATTCTCGGGATGGATAACTTGTTTTTGAATAATCACGGCAAGAAATAGTTTTTTGTCTCAAACAACGATATTGTTTAGCTTCATTTGATTATCAAGTCAAACACAGTGTAGTATGGAGAGGAATAAATTAATAATCACTATTATCATTGTTGATATGCTCACTAACCTAACATTTTCCACGTCTTGTTCCTATAGCTGGCACTGGCGCGGTATTTGCCATTAGAGCACCTGGTCCATACACAAATATGTCACTCTGTGGTTGTATTTATATTGAAACTACAATTCGAACATCCTAGAAAACCTAACCTGCTGTTAAGACGGGCGTCCACATTTTAACGCTGACCTTCTCGCAAGATGTCACTACGGTGAAGAAATCATAAATTAATTACGCCATCTTGAAAATTCAATGCAGAACTCGTTAATTTTTCGAAGCCTAATATCAGTACAGAAATCTGTATCGATCTAGTACAATTCAAATCGACTGCCGATTGGACCACCTAGGGCGCTCAGGGCACGAAACATTATGACGGATGACAGAACATTTACTTACAATTCCAGCCGATAGATGGATAAATGATGAATCATATTATTTTCAACATAGTTCAGTCGTTGATTGATATATTACGCTTACGCTAGGAAGATGCCCAACCTGTGTTATATTTTCGAGTCGATGCCCCGCTCATCCCCTCGTCTATCGTTTAGCCACTGTGAGGTAGCAACTCCACTATAGGCACACAGAACATGTCTGAACTAATTGTACAGATTACTACACTTTTGTACAGAATTACAGATCCCATCTCACCGCGTGCTATCGCTCCAGAAATGTTTGTTTATCCTTGTCTTCTACGATGAGATGAGACCCGACCCGCCCGACCGGTTCCGATCAAAAAATGTTTGTTACGGTCGGTGAATCCCATGGACGTATATGGGAAATCCGCAATCCGCAACCAAAACAATAACAACGAGATGCGAGTATTGATTTTTCCCTCGGTTCCTTGCGGAAGAGAGAAGAACATATTATGATCTCTCACTCAGTTGGGTTCTTACTCCGTGGCTTTTTTTAAAATTCCCTTGTGAATAACTTGTCATACTTTGCCTAGACCAATATATATGTATATCTGGAAAATCATCTCACGCCTTTTTCGTTGATTATTTTTTTCACTCAATTTGTATATCCATATTCCATATTGAAGTTTTGTATTTTTAAGACATTACCAAATATTGATAATATAATCAATCTGAATATGATAATTTCTTATTAGAGTCTCATCAGTAGATAGAAAATAAATAGTCAGATATCTTCGAATCTTTGATTGTTAATGGTTCACTATAAAAATGAAATAAAATACATCATCTATAATAGGCATAATATACAGATAGTGAGTCATAACTATTGGAACATATACAGTGTGTCCCACTTACCATGCTCACCATGGGTATCTTTTTAACGATTCCATGATGTATTGTCACCGAAATTATGAACACCTGCCAAATTTCAAGTCAATCGGAGTTATGAAATTTTTGTTGAAATTAAAAAAAATGGCTGCTCCAAGATGGCGGACAAGATTTGGTCCGATTCCATTCAAAATTGGTAAGTGGGGGTTTTTGAGGTCGGAGATCATGATTTTTTTGTTAAAATTCATAAATTCAAGATGGCGGCTTCCAAATGATTTTTTGTTTTTGTATAAATGACGATAACTCCGTTGTTATCAACACAAACCTATTACTGCGACATATCATCTGTAAGGGAAAAAAAAGTTATTTGTAGCTAAGTCATAGTGAGCTATGACCTACATTTGAAAAACTAAAGTTGGTGCTGATATCTCAAATTCTAGAAGAGTT